GTAAATTTCATAGCCTTCATTCAAATTATGATATGTGGCTTGCGTATTATCATGTAGTATGATTCTGGATTTTTTTTTAATACCGTGGGTTCTATTTCATGTATTTTATGGTTCAGATATGGATACAGTTGTGACTTGATGCGTTATAGAGCAGCTGAATGCCACGAAGCCAAGGACATAAAGCAATCCGAGTCAAAATCCCTTTGATAAGCTCACTGACAATACCATATTTGCCATGAAAACAATTACATGAAAGATAAGGTAGCAGAGGGGGTGAGAGGGAGGGAGGGAGGTGGACGTAGCAGTGGAGAACATGTTCTTGAATATTATTGTTGAAGTATCTTTACAATTATGCACTGTTTAGAACCTCTGTAGTGTGACTGGGCCGATAAAAGTGAAATAAATAGATTGCTTGCTCCATACAGCGAGGAGCTTGGATATTCCCCAGTGGTCTGTGTAGCATTTTGTTATCATTCCTCTCATGCTTTAGTTTTTTGCTCAGTATCTAGGCAGAATCCTTGGAGGCTTTGCGGGGGGAGCGGGGGCTGCATCAGGCAGAAGTGGGACAGAGTGGCTGTTGCCCCCAGTGCTACTGCCAATGGAGAGTTCTGCAGGACCCCCAAGTAGGGGTGCCCACAGTGAGGAAGGAAGAGCAGTTAGGGCTGTCATCGATCCAGGTGGGCTCTTCTCCCAGGTGGGCCTCGGGAGCTGTTGAAATACGCTGTGTGCTGCCATTGCATTTGTCTTGATTTTGCACATCTGCATTCCCCATCTGAGCAAGCATGTCGAAAAGGGGACGGAATTTTATTTGGAATCCTGCGACAACTCTGTATAAGAGTAGCACGTTGCCTATGATTAATGAGTGAAGGGAGTATTCTGCAAAATCAGCTTTAGTACTTTTGATTCAGGGGAACGAAAGGACACAGAAGTGTTTTGGGCAATGGAAAGCTGAGATGTCAGAAAAAAGTTTTAGCCAAGCCATTTCTGTGCTACTCTGTTTTCTACATCTAGGGTTGTTTGTTAGCTAAACATAAGGGAGCATTCAGTCTTGTGAAATATTTTAGGGTGTGATTTTTCTTAACATGTAAGTCGCCTTTTATAGGCAGAGCAACATGAAGGGTAAGTTCCTTACTTCATGTCAGTTTGACTGTCCCTTCCCTGCACCGTGGCTGGGTTTTAAAAAGGGAAAAATATCTATTGGCACCAATTAACTCTTTTTCTCCAGGATGTTGGATTGAGGGGAAATGGTGGTAAAAATTTCATCCTCTCTTTCCAGTTTGTGACTGAATCAGGACTGAAAATGCCTACTTTACAGTGGAAGGAAATAATTGCTGGGCAATTAATGTAACATTTAGCTTAAGCACAAGAGTCCATCTGGTTCAGTGTTATGTCTCCAACAGCAGCCAACTGGATGTTTCTGGGAGGCTCATAATCATGTCCTGAAAGTAAGACTCCCTCCATGGCTGTCTGACCTGGAATTCAGAGCCTCTGAACCTGGAATTTGCACTGAGCTAGCACAGATAATAAGTATAATCTTTTACCCCCACCTTGTGGTTCCTATTCTTTACCCATTTATTTGCCTATAAGAGGATCCACCCTTTTATCTAAGGCTGCCTACCTGGTAGTCTTTGGTAGGCAACTTTGCGAAGGGCTTTTGGGAATCCAAACAATTTTGACTTTTGCCTGTCTGCATGATGATACTCGCAATCCCTGTTCGGGCATGGCGACTCTAAAGACAAAAAAGAATACTGGGAAAACAGTGTCCAGCTTTTCCTGAGAGCCTCCATGGATGCAGGAGGTTCTTTTCTTCTGGGAGTCTTCTCCACAGGTAGACTTGTGTTGAAGGGACACGTAGCACCAAAGCACTCCCTTTCTCCTCTTTGCCCTTTTCAGGTAAAGAGCTCCTGAATAGGGAACCAAAAATAATAATGAACAATATTTGTGGCAGTTCCATTGCAGAAATTTCAACATTTTTCAAAACACAGTAATCTAGGGATGCTGTCTTATAAATGTATGTAACCATAAGAGAGCATTGAGGTGACCAGTAAAGTTATCCAACAAGCTGAATATTTATCAGATTAAATTCTGTGTTGTACACTTGTGACCATGATGCTCAGTTCAGTTCTTATCTAAAGAGCTCCAACTTCTTTCCATGGGTAGGGATTGTATGGGTGGTGGTGGTGTGGGGGTGGGGGTGGGGGTGGGGGTGGTGATGATGATGATGATATCTGTGTATATGGCACTTTACCAAAAATGAAGGGAGAAAGCTCTATTCTGAGGAGCCTGCAATCTAAAAATAAACATAAGGGAAACAAACGGAAAAAAGGAAGCATAACAGAAGTGAAGGTAAAGAGTGGAAGAATATTTAGTCAGTCAGTGATTTATAGACTTAATTACAATAGCTTTCCCTGAATTGGAATTCCCCAAATATTCTTGGATTGCAATTCCAGTCAACCAAGCCAGTGTATCCAATGGTGACCCTTACCTACTGAATATGTGGTTCGGGATAAAGTTGTTATTCTAAAGATCCCTGTTAAGCAGAGATGCATTTGGGATATACCATGATTAAAATACTGGGGCACACATTCTGGTGGTGAAACAAAGGCTGTTGACTTTATGCTTGCCTACCTCACATGCCCTTTCCAGTAGAAATCCCATTATTGATCATGCAAGGCTAAAGGCAACTAACTTTTATGTGTATCCAACTTCTGAATTTACAAACATCAGGAGACCATATGAGAACATAAATGCAAATGTCTATTCATTCCAAATTTATGGTACTTGGGAGTTGTAGAATTCACATAGTTGATGCTCGCAACATGCATTGACAGTATTTGCATGGAGAAGGTCCAAATCTCTATCCCCATTAAAATCTCACTTCCAGTTAAAAGGATCTTGGATACAGGTAGAAAAGACTGCCTGAAATTCAGTATGGCTGCTACCAATCAGAATGGACTGCACTAGGCTAGCTAGACATGTGTGCTTATAGTCTTACATGCTAGCAGGATCAGTACCTTGAACACTAAATACCTATTTCTCATCAGAAAGCATATTACAGAAACTCTGCCAATGAGAGCTCTTGTGCAGCAGCTGAACCTGAACAGAGAATTCTCTGTATTAAGAATGCAATCAAATTAATGATAAAATTAATGCAGAAAACAATTTTAATTTAGATTTTTGCCTTCAGATGTAAAACATTCATACAACTTTCTTAATGTAAGAGATTACACATTTTCTCCATTCATATATTTTTCAGGTGACTTGGATTATTACTGGTTGGATCCTGCCACATGGCACAGTAGGGAGACATCCCCCATTAGCTCGGTAAGCAACACTCAGAATAGTATATTCAGATAAATGTTGATCCTTTCATTGTGCCTTTTGGCAACTGATTTTGTTCTGATGAATCTCAATATACTAATACAAAAAGGAATGCAGCATTATTGCTTTCTCCTTGTAACCAACATAATAAAATGATTATTTAGTAGCATTTTATTAGTATCTTGAATTACTAGGAAAATTCCTTTTAAATATTCCATTCCGAAGAGTAAAATCACTGGCAATGCAAATATTTTTAATGACAACAAATTATATACTTCGGCTTAGAACCTAACTCTGCTTTCCATTCACAAAAGGCTGCATCTGTTCACAATAGACTTTAGTTCTAGAAGAGTCCTGCTGGCAGAAAAGGAGTTCTCATGGATTTCCTGTCCCCTTGCAGAGAGTCCCTGATCCTCTGGGGAACATGGGGGGGGGTTCTTTGGGGAGAGGGGAATCAGCAGTTTTGGTGGGAGTGTCCTGTAAACAGAACTCAGCTCACAGTATGTTTCTGCAAGCTAAAGATCCAAGCCATTGTGTATAGTGAACATATCTACAAAAACAATATACTGTAAATGGAAAATATATAGAAAAAATGTTGCACAGGTTAGAATAGCTCTTAGTTTGATACAGGAGAGCCATACAGTAATGTTGCGTGATCGTCAGAGCAGGATGCATCGTTCTGGCCTTGTCTGAGCGAAGTGCCACCCACTGTGGTCCTGTAGCTCCCTTATAGAAGGCAGGCTGCCCCACAAGAAGAGGGAAGGGGCAGCCAAATAACTCTGCCCCTTAGCCTATTAATCCCCCAGCTTCAAACTGTATTGTCTATAAAGCTATACACTGGTTAGTGAAGTCTGTTCTTCACTGTGACTGAAGATTGTTGCTGCAGACTTCAAACACACTGACGCATTTAAATTATTAAAATTCATGAATACAATTCGAAAACAAAATAGCCATGAGGTGCATGCCCCGAGCCCTCTTTCCATGCATGCAGGAACCTGTGCATCAGGGTCTTGGCAGCATGGTGCTGACAGACAGACAGACATCATTTATTGTTCTGTATCAACAAAGACTTCATGTGTTTGAAAGACTTTAAATCCTTTAATCAATACATGCCTGTACAAAGTGTGGCCCACCAAGATGAATTCAGCTAAATACTACAGATGCCCGTACGAAGTGCCAGACAAGCAAAATCTTCGCTGCTCTAGCCATACCTCCAAAAATTAGGTTAAATGAGCCCGTGATTGTCCACAGTCTGTGATGGGTGGACTGCATTCCGTTCGGTAGCTTATAAATTGTGCAGTCTGCATTAACCATGTTTTGTACTGGACATAATGCAGATAATGTTGTGATTGTTGTGCTGTAGAGAACAAGCAATTTAAATATCTAGTGTAAGTAAGAAGGGAAAAAATCTGCTGATAAATACAAAGAGAGATGTGCAATAACTTTAGTGCGTAAGAAAAAGAGTGTGTTTTCAAGGTGAGAAAGCCAAAGGATGGATTGAATGTTTTTCTGCCATAATGCAGTTGTTGAACACACTGAAAATTAATAAAGTTTGTGAAACTTAAGTAAGAATAAATCTACACTTCATTTGCTTAATGTCATTTGTTCATTTTTAATAGCATCCTGTAACCTGGCAGCCATCTAAAGAGGGAGATCGCCTAATTGGTCGTGTTATTCTCAACAAGAGAACGACTATGCCAAAAGAGTCAGGTGCATTGTTGGGACTCAAAGTAAGTACAGTGGGGGTTATGCTAGAAATTCATTTCTGTTCTGCATGCTCACTATTTTAAGAGATAAAAGTTGTCCACGGCTGAGCAAGGAGTACATGATCGGTGATCACTATAGAATCTAGGAGCTGAGAAACAGTTCCGGAAGTTAAAGCAATTTGACCCCTGCTAATTTCCACATGGAAGAATGAAAGTATGATCCATGGGACATTCTTGGTATTTTGCCCCTTCAGAGAGGAATCCCCATGTCTGAGGTGAGGTTTCTGTACAAATCTGCTTCTAATTTGCAAATAAGCAGGCATTAGTTCAATAGCCTGTTGCGAAATTTCTCTCCTCTAAGACTGACTGGTGTGATCATCTTGCAGTCCAAGGGACTTGCAGGAGTCTCCTCCAGCACCACAATTCAAAGGCCTCAATTCTTCGGTGCTCAGCCTTCCTTATGATCCAACTTTCACAGCCATACATTACAACTGGGAAAACCATAGCCTTGACTATATGCACTTTTGTCGGCAGGGTGATGTCTCTGCTTTTTAGTATGCTGTCTAGATTTGCCATAGCTTTCCTCCCCAGGAGCAAGCGTCTTTTAATTTCTTGGCTGCAGTCCCCATTTGCAGTGATTTTGGAGCCCAATAAAATAAAATCTGTCTCTACCTCCATTTCTTCCCCATCTATTTGCCAGGAAGTGAGAGGATCAGATGCCATGATCTTAGTTTTCTTAATGTTGAGTTTCAAGCCAACTTTTGCGCTCTCCTCCTTCACTCGCATCACAGTACCAAAAGTCAGACATGACTGGAATTTAAAGTCATGGGGAAACCTTTACCTTTTTAGACTCTGGAAACAGGGATTTCCTTCCCCTCCCTTTCCAGATTCTCAGTAGAGTTGTGGTGTGGTATTTGTCACTGGCGTAAGACCCAGTAATGGGAAGTGGGAATAGTAATTCTGTGCAGGCATAGAATGTGGCACATTATAGGTATAAGGTGAAAAATGCATGGATATTTGAACCTAAGCATCAAGCACAGGCATTTTTGTCAAACATTGACCTGGATTCATAGCAAAAAGGGTTGCTGACAGCACCTGCCATTCTCTTTTCCCTTTATGTGTACTCCTTGAAAAATACTTCTAGATGGTCAGAGAAGTTGGGATTGTAACACAGCAATAATCTCCCTCTGTTCAGGCAAGAACTGCCTTTTGTTCCTGTAGCATGCTCTTTCATTCCAGCCACAATCCTTACTACAAGTTGAGTAGTAACATGAGTATGGGAGTTTACAAAAGTTTATTGTTCAGTGCTTCAGCTTCTGAAAATCACATTAGAAAACAGTATTTTCACATCAAGTTGTTCAAGATTTGTATGGTACATATCGTGTCAATATTCTGAGCAGAAAGTCATGAAAAATAAAGTACACTTAACTATTTGAAACAGTTTCAATTATACATTGCATATAATTTTAACATAAATTATATTTACAGTATATTGTTAAAATATAGTTTATTGTGTTCTGCAAACTGACACAGTTTTTGCTCAGGTTGTAGGAGGGAAAATGACCGATTTAGGACGACTTGGTGCCTTCATTACCAAAGTGAAAAAAGGTAGCTTGGCTGATGTAGTCGGACATCTCAGAGCAGGTAATTCAGTTACCAAAAATATTTTATGTTAATGTTCATAAAACTTGCAGTGTTTCTGTGTGCCAGTGTGCCATTTTGTCAATGTTTTCAATGCATATTTCAGCCTAATGTGATAGTGGCAATATATAAATTATCTGAAACATTGATACATAATTATATTGTTTGAAAATGTATAGTAAACATGCAGTCTGATCTTAGAAGCAGTAATTTATATATGATAAAAACAAAGTACAAAAATAATGATAAAATTGGGAAAGACATCTATATATTTAAATATTAAAATAACATTTAAATGTGTGCATATACATTTAAATAGTGTATGTGAAAAAGATGATACCTTTATGCTAAACAGACCCCCCAAACAGTGGTGATCAACATACTTTTCAGAAAAAAAAAAAAACTTTTGTGCTTCTTCTGCATGTGCATCTTCAGAGTCCTCTACTGAAATGAGAACTGAAGTCTGTAACAAATATATCTTTATCAAATGACCAACATGCAAGCTAAGACTCAGCCTTTGAAATTTGCATTTTTCCATATCTTCCAGTGGAGTTCTTCAGTCAAAAATGCATATGTTAGTTTCAATTATATTAGGCCAATGGCTTGTACAAAATGTGTGCATCAAGCACATGTGTGCACAAAAATACATATAAATTTCCACTCGAATCTTTATAAAATAATGCTTAATGTTTAGGATGAATTGAATTTAGGATAGAAAAGGGAGGAAACTGAGAGACACCAAACAGATATTTATGTCCGTCTCTGTGTACATCAGAGTGGCTCTTTGGGATTGCTAGAGCTTCCATTTTCTCTTATACAGGCAGAAATTTTAGCATACAGAAGGAAATAATTTTCTGCGCCCTTAGCAACTCCTTAGAGAAAATAATAAGAAATTATACAAATATGGGGATCTTTGTGCAGTCAAGGGAAAACAAGGGACTTTACTTCCACAGATGGTTCTTGAAAGAATACAGTGCAATGAAAATGAGCTGCACTGAATGTTGGTGTCAGAATGGCCAGGCAACCTGAAAAAGAAGTGGATCCTCTTGACTGGTCTCTTGATGGGGCCAGAGTCTGTTTTTGCTGGCTTTGATATTTTGCCTTCTTTGTTAGTATACTCAGAGTTTACAGTATAGCCATAATTTCTAATTTGTATTTCACATGCATATTAACACATGGCATTGTTATGCAAATTTGCTTTTTTATTATTTTTTGGGGGGTGCATTTTCCTTTTTTGACCATATATAAGTGACCACCCAATTCATAGGTCCCAGAAACTTGCTTCATTTCAGAAGTATAATTAAAGAGGTAAGGAGAGTCATTTTGTTGCTACTGTTCAATAATTGTCAACCTGTTTTCCACTCTCACGTCTACTCTCTGTCAAGCTCCTTATTTGTGAGCTCATCTCTTCACTTTTGTATTCCCAGCCAACCAAGGTGAGCGGAGTCTAGCTGTATTCCTTTAGCAAGTAGGCTGTGTAACACAGAGAGAATACTATAAAAGTCATTAGTAAGAAGCATCCATCAAGTTCATGATTCCTGTAATTGCAGAAGTAGTTCTTGCCCATCCCTGAAGTTGATACCAAATTGAATTCCTTTCCTTGCTTCTCCTACAAATAAAACTGACTCCACACTCAGGGAGGATCAAACTGCCTGTGGGCCAGACAGCAGAAATGTTGGAGATGGCTTAATCGCTCTGCTTGTTTGTCTCATTGACGAAATACTGGGCTGCTGACTTCACATTCTTCTTCCTCTGATCCTCTTCATTCTCCAGTGTTTTCCACTGAACTAGAGGCAGTCTGGTTCTCACCACCTGCATAGCAAAACTGGCTCCTTATCCCCCATATTTCAGATAAGCATTCTGCCTCTGCCTCTTCTTTTCATTGAGATCCATAGTTTGAATTCTCTAAATTGGAATACCATATTATGGAAATAGCAGTCCAAATTCCCAGAATACTAGACGGATAGCTCAGACTATTGCAACCTACTGTTAGTTCCAAATGTATATCCACAGATCTAACCAAGAAAAGGGAATATATATGTACAAAATAATTTGTAAAACAAAAATAAACATTCCCTTGTTTTTAAATTCAAGGTGATGAAGTTCTAGAATGGAATGGCAAACCACTTCCTGGAGCTACAAATGAAGAAGTTTACAACATCATTTTAGAATCAAAATCTGAACCTCAAGTTGAAATCATTGTTTCTAGGCCTATTGGGTAAGTTTTAAATGACTTGCTTTGTAAATGTACAATACTATTTGTGAAATTCTTTTGTTCGTGACACATTCATGCACACATACTGTATACTTGTGCATACATACACATGAACTGTTGCAATATTAAACACATGAATATAGGTATTTATCAAAATAATTAAGTGGGCAAAGATTTTGGGAAGCATTTTCTCAGCACCTCTGTTAGACTAGCCTCTTGTATCCTGCCTCAATTTGCTCTTGCAGAATTACAACAGTAGTAATACAATTTCACCAAAAAAAGTTGACTCGAAGTCAGACATGGCTAATAATCCTGAGCACATAATTTTGTACTAATCTCTTCTTACATGTTATATTTTTAATGCTTACTTCACCATCAATATATATGGTGGAAAAATAATTATAACATCAAAACATAATGAATAAACACAGCTTCTTCTGTTTGGAAACATGCCCACTTTTGTGACATATAAGAACATTGATGAGAATACTTGTCTAAAATAATAACAGTTCTAGTGTAGCCAAAGGCATTAGCTTGTATGCAGAGTAAGTCATAGTTAGAGTAGAACCATTGAAACCAATGAGACTTAAGATAGTCATGCTCAACTTAAGATACATTGATTTCAATGGATTTCATTTAACTGTGACTAAGTTGAATCAAACCCATTATGGATTATAAATTATGACCTACTAATGTCTGTTAGGAGAATGAGTGCTGTGGCTTCCAATTTCTGTGCATAGTCTTTCCATGTGTCAGGAGCAGAGAGTAGTCTCTACTAGTAGAGAGCTAGTAGACTGTCCTGGGGAGACCCTAGCATCTAAAATTTGAAGGTTGATTTGCTGCAGAAGGCTTCTCCAAACTGGTGCCCTGTATGCATGTTGGACTACAACTTCCCATGATTTCCAACCAGCGCGATTAGAGTCTCCAATGGGGAAGGTTGTTCTGTTGCACTATTTATCTAACACAAATTCCCAGGAATCTGTGTAAATCACAATGTGTTTTGAAGTGTAATAGCTTTCAAGGCCTTCGTGCAGGGAGAGCCAGCTCGTATCCTGCCTCTAGAAGCCATTATAGAGAGCTCTAGGCTCCAAGTATCATCCATATATCATCCTGGTATCATCCATATGGCCAGTAAGATTTCATGCCACCAAAGGATCTTTTGGATTCCAATAAACACCCAGTTTCAGGTAGTTTCAAACTGAAGTTTAAGGAAGAAGGTGAAAAATGTTGCAGGAAATATTTATTTGGTCAGAAGGGTAGAAAGCATTTCTGGTCAGAGTCCACAAATGGAAGTGTGTTTCATTGATTGCAGTGTAGAATGTTTAGGATCTACATGTATGTCTTGTTAAGTATGTATCAGTTTCCACATACTTTTTTAATTTAACCTTTTCCTTATTTCCTTGTTTTTCTTTTTGTTCTCGTAAGACTTTGTCATAGGTTTCATTCAGCAAACTCCTTCAGACGTGTGTATAAAAACTTCTAGTGAGTTATACAGTTTGTATTATTTTGAAGCTGTATACGAGTAGAATCCAGTAGAATCCAGAATCAGAATTTATACTGCATAGCTTTCTCCCTTCTCCTCCCTGATATGTTTCTTTCTGTTGTGTGATTTTACAATATTTCGCCATTTTCCTTGACAACATTAACATGACGGTGTTCATATTGGTGTCTGTTTACATCGTCATGGTTGTCCAGAAGAAACATAGCGTGGCACTATGTCCCTTAGGTGTGGTGAGTTCCCTCTGCTATAGATCCCCTCTTCCTTAACAAACTGAAAGATGCTTTAAAGTAAAAGCAGTGGTGCCAAATACCCAGAAGTCTGTGATGTTTCAGAGGCATAAGTGAACATCTGAGTGCTTTCTCCTACTGGAATTTTATCAAGCAGCATTAAGTAATGGATGACATCTATGTGCTTGGAAGTTAGGCAGTGTTTTTGCTCTATAAAACAGCAGTTCAGTTATTTCTAATTTTCCTCTACATATATCTATTTTAGTGACATTCCAAGGATTCCTGAGACTTCTCATCCTCCGCTAGAATCCAGTGAGTATTTCCTTTGTTCCTATCTGTGCTTAGGCTAAAGATCTACCTCAATGCACCTCAGCTGCTAGGAAGGTCTTTGACGAACGCTACCTTTGATATCATTTGGTTCAGTCCCCAAAGCAGCTCCTTTACTTGTACCTGGGGAGACCGGCTGGGTGACCTGCAGAGGCCCTCAAAGAAAAACATGGAATGACGAGCAGCAGTAGTGCATAATGCCTAGTGAGGTCATTCATAATGACCAACACATCACAGTGATGCAATTATAGCTCACCATCTCCTGACTCATCCAATACTTCCAAGAATTTTTGGAGGATGGTGAGGTGTGATCCTACCACCTGTCGCCATTTTGAATAGTGAAGACTTCCAAAGTCATGGCCTGAGCTTCTTGACTAAATCCATTCAATGGGCTCATTCAAATGATCATTCCAGAATTTAGCTAGCAACAAAATGGGGGTGACCCCTGTTATCTTTCCTTCCAGCGGGCAAAGGAAGAACTTGACATATTTTAAACCAGAACTCTGCCATAAGACTAGTTACATAACCAGGAAAATGAGCCAAGATGTATATAATATAAAAATACATAAAATAAAAGATTATGTCCTGGTTTAATTTCCTGCTTTATTATCCCATGATTTAGAAGTAATTGGGAACTTTGGCTTAACACAAGCCAAGGTCTTCATGTCAAAGCCAGTGCATGTCAAGTGGAGGGACAAAGAAGTGCTCAGCATCAGCACTTTTGCTTTCATACACCATGGTTTGTTAAGCTGGAAAAATGCCCATGGCTTAAAGAAGAGACAGACAGATTGTTTCCTTTTTCTTGTAGTAAGCTCCCACGTACACGTGGGGCTTTGTTGAAAGCACACTTTTCCCATGAGAAAATGCCAGTTAGGCTCTTTGTGACTGGTGGTTCACTACATCAGAAATGTGTACATCATTATGGCTCTCTGCTGGAGGTACTTCATGATATGCTCTATGACAAGTAACACAGCTTTTTTTTTCCTGCTTACCGCATATGAATTTGTGAACTTTAAAAATTAGTATTATTATTTCCCCTTGGCCTCTAGTACTAAAAAAAAGTATCTACCGTATTTTAAAGTGGGAAAAAGGGCCAGTTGTATTCTCTTCCCCATTTCGCTGACCTTATGTTGCCATTTAAAGAAAAATGTTTGTAGCCTTTCTCATTTCCAACTTGTACAGACAGGGTGGGAGCTTGTATCTAGCCCATTCTTCTTTTTTGATATACTGTACCAACTTTTTCCTCCTACAGCAGTAGTACTTCATCATCTCTCCCATCATGTGTGGATGGGATTATGACATTGAAAAGAAACTTGGATGAAACATAATACTAAAGGAAAAAGGAAGATTGATTATTTCTTGTTTTTCATGTAGAAAGGCTTTCCATTGGCTTCTTTTGTTTTTGCATCTGTTCAAAGTCAAAGTTAAAAAGTTTTGCCAAACATCTAATATTTAATTTCATTTTGTTTTTAAACTTGTCAAATGTTTTTATTCTTCTCCCTTTCCTGTCATCCCCCTTCTATCATTTTCCTTCCTACAATCATATTTTTATTTGCCTGCAGCTATGGAAAATGGGCTAACAAGGGAAGGTACTTATTATTCTTATTCTTTATGACTTCAGCTCTGTTGTCACCTTCAGCTCATTCACTTTCAAAAAGAATTTCTTTTCTGATGATAACAGTTAACTGCCTGTTGATGTCCTTGCTTAGTTGGTTAAGTGGGCATAGTTGCCATCAAGCAAATACTTTGTGATACAAGTAGAACTATCAGAAAACATGTTGTGATGTATCTGGAATTAAACTGAAGATCTCTCTTTCCCCACTTTTCCTCTCTCCAGGTTCTAGCTCATTTGAATCTCAAAAAATGGAATGGCCTTCAATTTCTGTTATTTCCCCCACAAGTCCTGGAGCCCTAAAGGATGCACCACAGGTCCTACCTGGGCAGCTTTCTGTAAGAGCAACTTTTATCTCATGCACTCATGTTGTTTTGTTCAGATGTGATTTAAAAAAAATCTTTATATTCTGCACAAAGTAGGACAGGGATGGGTAACACACCTCATGAGCCACGTGTGTTCCGAGAGAGTAGCTCCCAGATTTCCCTGGTGATCATTTTTTTCCTAATAATGAAATAAAAGGCTATGTTTTTCTGCCACAATGGAGGCTTTGACTTGACACATCTTGCTTGTTTCTCCTGCTGATTTCCTTCATGGAGGTAGTAGCAGAGGGGAGCACAGCTGCCAGACTGTCCAAAGATACCCACCATTTAATTAAGGAATAAAAGCATCTTGCTGCTACACTTCTCAACAAAGTAAACTATGTTTACAAGACCCCATACAGAGATGAGCATAGCCCTGTTTCATAAGGCCCGTTTCATAAAGATGAAATGTAAAATAAAGGGCTAAATTTCCATCAGCTTTGGGGAACAGGAGGATACAAAATTCACCCTGCCATCAGAGCTTCTTCCCAGCAGCCACTGACTGGTCAAGTTCATTTCTCTCCCTCAACAGTGCCCCGCAAATGATAATGTGGCATTGCTCAGAAGTGGGCTTTTCCCCACTGAGGCCCATTTCAGAATGACACGTGTGGATTCTTTTGGAAAGAAATATGGCCATTAAGTGGTGGCTGCTGAGAACAGCCTGCAACAGAGGCAGTGCATTTAGCCATGCTCTCCAATTTTGGCCTGCCTCTGAAAAAACCCTGCATTTGTCCCAATGACTGGCAAAACCACAGTTTAAATGGGGAAAGTAGGTATTTCCAGTTAAATTGCACCTTTTTCCCTGCCCTGCCAATTTGGAAGCACAAAGTGCTGCTCATGAGCAAGTTGTGTACATTGGCGTACTGCATCTGAACCTACAGGTTTCCCATTACTACCATACCTAGCATTTATTAATATACTCATCCTCCATTAATAAGTCGAATTCGGTTTTACAGGTATTCAAGTTACTGCCAATTTCTCTTGGTCATTGTGTCTATAAATGAATTACAGGCTTTATGAAGTAGAAACAAGAAACTTAGCAATGTTCAAACTCTGCTAAATTTTCCCCAAATTATTAATTAACTTCAGCTCAATTCCATTTTAGGCTTTGGCCTATTTTACATGTTGTTTGAATGGTGAAAGAGCATGTTTCTGTTTGTATTTTTTGAAATGGCATACTTCCCCCTTCAGTGACTAAAGTGAGAAAAAATTAAATGCACATTTTTCAACCCAATAGCAAATTTTCAAGCATTAAAAAAACACTCATCATCTTTGCACTCAGGTTTGCAAATAAGACATGATTTGTGAATATAAAGGAAATTCTTGTACATCTTTAATAAGAAGTTCATCTGTCCTAAATCTTTTGCCAATCAGCTTCAGTGGATCAGCAGCAAGAACTTTCTATTTAATCAAGCATATTGGGTATTAACTTAATAATGCTTTACATTATTATGCTATTATAAATTTAACGTACTGTTACCCCAACCACAAGTTTAGAGAATGAGATAGGATATGAACCAAAATAAATAATTTTATTGATAATTTACAGTTATTTATACTATTTTAGGTTAAACTATGGTATGACAAGGTGGGGCATCAGTTAATAGTGAATGTTCTTCAAGCAACAGGTCTGCCACCTAGAATAGATGGACGGCCAAGGAATCCCTATGTGAAAATGTATTTCCTTCCAGACAGAAGGTAGTACCTCAAATTAAAAGTATATAATTCAAAAGCACAGCTTGTTTTGTGTTTATATGCTCAATCATTTTTCATATGTGGTATTAAAATTGGTTCTGGATGGCCTTATACTTTTCTAGTAAATGTTCTCATTAGAGGGTAAAGAACCCTCTCTTAAGCAAGTTGGAAGTGCATCTTCATGGATCAGAAAGTTACTTTTGCTAAAGAAGTGATTGTTCAGTTTGTGACACACCCCTTCCAATCCTATAATAACCCCCCCTTTTCCTCTATGTTATGGAAGTAGTTTATTACGTCATCCCTCTGTCCCCTCTCTTTTTATCTTATTGGGCATTGCTTTCTAGTGTTCATAATTTGAACGCAACACTCAGTCCCTGCTCTATGTCATAGAAAATAATTAGCATAATAAATAGCTTCTGGGTGACAACAGCACTCCAGATGGTTTAATTAAATTGTTTGTGAACTGGTCAGTCTCTCCACTTGCCTATCAGTGGTCCCTCTGCAATGGCCCTGTGGGAAACATGTCTCCTTTCCCAGGCCTTTCTTGGCCAAGGCCACCATCAGTTGGCTACCCAGTGATCCTTTCCTCCCATTGAAAACAGAAAGCGCCCCCAGCACTGTGACTTGTTTGCCTCATAATAATTTACCACGGTCTTTTCTATTTCAGTGATAAGAGTAAACGAAGGACCAAAACAGTAAAGAAAAGCTTAGAACCAAAATGGAACCAAACGTTTCTCTACTCACATGTGCACCGTAGAGATTTTAGGGAACGGATGTTAGAAATCACTGTTTGGGATCAGCCAAGAGTGCAAGAAGAAGAAAGCGATTTTCTTGGAGAGGTGAATGCGCATATTGGCACTGTAAGAGAGTTCTGTTTTAAAGATGTCATAGAAGGTCCTACTTTTAAGACTTCTGTGGGTGGAACTAAGATGAAGCTTGCTCCATTCCCCCGTAGATCCTTATAGAGCTGGAGACAGCCCTTTTAGATGATGAACCGCATTGGTATAAGTTGCAGACCCATGATGAATCCTCCCTGCCTCTGCCTCAGCCATCACCTTTCATGCCAAGGAGACATGCCCATGGTGGAGAGAACTCTGGCAAAAAACTGCAAAGTAGGTCCAGAATTCCCTTTCTTTCTCATCAATAGCTTCTGACCAGACATTATTATAATATAAGAAAGTGTGACCAGATATCTGAGTGATGGCATTCTTTATGAGGTGTGCTTTCAAAGATCCACAGAAAATTGGGCATGTAAATTCGGAAAATAACTGCATCTGCTGTATAGTTTCTGAGTGAGTTTACCATTTTCCTGTTGGCCCACGTATGCTGCCATTGGGAGTGTATTCTCAGTGCTGGCTGGGAATTATGGGAGTTGCAGTCCAACATGTATGGAGGACACCAGGCTGGGGAAGGCTTAGGACAGTGGTGGCGAACCTATGGCACGCGTGACACAGCCGGCACGCGGAGCCCTCTCTGTCGGCACGCGAGCCAAGTCTTCCCAGCATCGCCCCAGCTGCCGAGCATCGGATAACAGCACACATAGGGGCCATGCGCATGCTCGGAAAGGAGTAGAGGTGCCAGGTGATGACTCATTAGCCGCGACTTGTCCGAGCTTTCGCATGGCCAGTCAGTGTGCTGCCAAGGATATATATATATTTGCTTGGTCTGACTGTGAGGTGTTTTTTCTAAACTAAAACCTCAGTTTTCAGGTTTTATTGTAGCGTTGGCACTTTGTGATAAATAAGTGGGTTTTGGGTTGCAGTTTGGGCACTTGGTCTTCAAAAGGTTCTCCATCACTGGCTTAGGGTGTGCCTTCGTTGTTTCTAATGGATTGCAGATGCAATCTCAGATCTTTCCAAAACAGTCTCTCTCAATTCAGCCAACTAAATATTCAAGTTATTGGTTTCGCTACTAAATGTTTAACTGTCTCATTGAGACTAAGCACTAAGCCTTTAAGTCCAGCAAAAGATGTTTCAGCTGTATAATGACTTTCAGAATGTTGATTGTTCTAACACAGAAAATATAAATGCAACAGAGAGGGAAAATCAACATATAAAAATGGGAGAAAATATATACCATCCCTGAACTTGAAAGCCTCACACAGCGCATCATCAGGCAAAACTGCCTGCTTTGAGGCATGGGACAATAGGCAAGGTGAAGGCTGGGGATGGATGGAATTTTACAAATGATATGGCCTAGGAGAGGATTCATATCTTATATAGAAAAGGACTTGGTTTAGCGACAATTCAGGTTAGGAGTTTCCCTGAACTTGATCAGACAAGGTTCACCTTTGTCCCACTGGTCCTACCTGTTTGGCAATGTGGGGCTTCTCCAAGTGACAACAGCAGTCACCTGGGTGGCTGGTAACCATCTCTCTCTCTCTCTCTCTTTTGTAACCCAGAATTCCCTTAGAATGAGGACAGTGAACAATGTCCTTACTCTAACTGGCATCATTCTGAAGTTGATCAAGAGTGAAGACTGTGCGTAACTACTTCAAATTTAGGGGATTTTTGAGTCAAAGAAATTGTTGCCATTACTACAGTGTTGCTACTAGTGGCAGTAAAGTTGGTTAGCTTCGATCTTCCTTTGTCCCTTTAGAAAATCAACAAAAATGATCCCCCACTCTAGGTTTGCCTACAAATGGGGCAGAAGAATTTTTTTTAGCTCACCCCTAAAAGTGAAAACAAAGCTTAAAAGACACTTTTGGATCAGCAGTAATTTACAGATAAATGTTCATCCTTGATGACTGGATCATCAAGGGATGACTTTCTTATATGACGAGATGGAATTTTCATTTCACCTCACAGTCAGTAATAGCTTTCAGCAGAGTTTCCCTACTGTGCCAGAAGTCATCAAGTGCACAGTAATCAAGCAGTGCAGAATCAGGTATGTATAGTAGATGCACGTGTGAATCAAGCCATACGGACTTTCCAGTCCTGTGAGCCACTACACAAGTGCAGCTGTTTTCAGTGCGGCAGGTTAGGGTGAGGCTTCCAAGCAGTGGTGGGAGGGCTGCACTGGTGCCGCTGCACTTGTGCTTCCCCTCCATTAGCAAAAGGATGCAACAGCCCTGCGTGACTCTGCTTGGGGCAGAATGGGAAGTGAAGAGCTGAGGAAGTCCCTGCTTCTTATGCAGTATACTAACTGTTGATAGATAATGGCAATCCACAACCCTATTCTGCTTTGGCTTTTATTTTACTAAGACAATGTTGACCTGGCAAACCTAGCAGAGCTGTTAAGCAACTCTGCCTTCCATGGTGGGCATTTCATTTTAATTCTGCCACTGTTATGCAAGTTGCTATTTGCTCTGCTGTAGGTAATGTCAGACTGTAGGGTGAGGTTGGGCATTTGTTTAACTGCAAGAAGACTTGCAGTAAGTGTATTAGTGCCACAATGAGAGCTTAAGTATGTCCTTTCTGAGCCACTTTACAATAGTTGTTGTTGTTGTTATTTTGTATTTAAATTTGAATGCAACCCATATTTGAATATCCAGAACAACTGGAATTTTTTACTTATCTTAAATCCTTAAAAAAGAACTAAGTATACAGGTGTCTATTTGCCTTACTGTTGCACAGGGTCTCAGCGAATCAGTGATAGTGACATCTCAGATTATGATGTTGATGATGGTATTGGAGTAGTTCCTTCAGGTGCGTGGGTGAAGAGCATGGTCCTACATCCTTTCCTTTTGCTTATCCTGTTTCCCCCTCCCAGTTTGAATTTTCTAGATTTTTTTGAAAGAAGATGAATTGGTAGAATATGTTTTCTAGAAAGTAATTTGATTCATTATTCCATGGTGATCCTTGAAAAATGTGTACCAATTTTATTTATGGATTTAAAATATGTCCTGCCTTTTCTGTGTCTCTATAGTATTCAGGGAAGCTCACAACACATTAAAATCCAATAAATTGGGCAGGAATTGGACATCAACAGTAACAAAAATATTGTTGATATTTGTTTACACATATACTTTTGATACATAATTATTTTTGGATATTTTATAGGTCAGTTATGCTTTTTTGAACATACTTTAATGATCTGCATAGAAGAGAAAACGCAAAAAATGGAAGTCAAATGTCCAACTGAAATACAGTGTCCAAATGATTGATGCGTTCTTGCTTACAATCTTGCACAGGTTCACCATGGAATATGCTGATAATGCATGGCTGTATTCAGTGCATGAAGCATGGCTGTGTCTTTGATACTCATGGTTGGTGTTCTTAAGTTGTTATTATCCTAAATGTATACATAGAAAGGGAGACTCTGAGTTGCTATAAAGGCTGCAGTCCTGCCAGAAGTGCCATGGACATTTCCACTGCAGCCAATCACTATCTGAAGAGGGGGAGAAAGGCTTGAAGCAGAAAAATGACTTCGCTTTTCAACCAGATGATCAGCTACAGTAAAAATCTGTGCACACTCTTCATCTCCATCTGTGCAATGGCTTATATAGTATTGTAGCCAGTAATATCCTGGCTACTCTATTTTTATATACTAATCTCAACATGATAGATTTCTTATGGTGTTCTTTGAACTCATTTAAACATTACTTATGAGGGTAGCTAATCACATTAAAGAAGGCAATAATGTTCTCTTAATTGGAAATTCAAGTAGAATGAACAAAAAAGAGAGATTTATTATATTTTTTCACATTTCTGAAATAGTACTTGGGTACAACTACCTCATTTATCTTATCAGCTTTTGCAGTGGAACCAGAATAATTTACAGTGTATCTTGCTGACTCACCCAGAATAGCTTGTCCCAGTATTTCTAAGAATTTTAATACTGCCCTTGTACTATTTATCAACTACAACAAATATATTTTCAATGAAATCAATGTATCAAATGTAATTTCCATTTTCTGTTCTTGTGTATTATGTATGAGCATGAATCTTTGGTCATCTCTAGGATAAGAATGCAGTTTCATATCCAAGTAATTAGTACTGTAGATGGGTTTTTCTGTCTGTTCTAAGCAAAGTTTTCTACGCATGGCACAGCTCATCTTCCATTCCACAAACCAGACATACACAATTTGTGAGAGAAGTGCCTGAAGTACGTTTTGGATGCATATATATTACTTGTGAATGGTTCCCTATAAGCTCCCTTGTTCTCCGACTCAGAATCTGACGTAAGGGACTGTTAATGTCTAAGCCAAGCAACTGCTCCTCCAACCTTCAGTTGGATCAGCCCCAGCCAGAAAGCCAGATGGTCAGAAATGGTAGAGGTTGCCATTCACAACATCTGGGTGTCACCATGTTGGGGAAAGCTGCTCTATCAAGAAGGGTCTGAGTTTGAACTTCTGGTTACGTATTTTTCTATAAACTGTTCTCAGAGAGTTCAAACCTACTTGTATTTGGGACTTGAATTCATGTATATGGTAGCCTTTTCTTTCTGATGTTGGGAGACTTTGAATGTGGAGTTGGTGTCTTTTCACCTCCTTCTGCAAGGCTTTCTTGAAGTGCTGGAGTTCATTTATATGTGCACCCAGGTAGTTTTTCTAAATTGGGGACAGGAGGTTAAAATACTTTTAAGAATATGTCATCATTAGGTTTTTCATACTTCGATGGAAACTATTTGTGTTTGTCTCCAGATCTTAGGTTATATTATTTATTTATTTATTTATTTAAAGTTTTTGTATGCCATCCCCTTGCTATATAGCCTTAGGATGGCTCACAGAATTGCATCTTGGTGGTATTTAGGTATCTTTCTCTTAGACTTGGTTCTTTCTGCCTATATAGCTTTGCCCTGTGGTGCTAATGCTCTGGTTAACAGCAGGTGATTGAAACCTCTTTATGTTTAGTTGAAAGTGAAATTTGTTCTGTGAACAGTTTTATTGATCAATGTTGGGTCAAATACTTTCTATATGATTATAAAGGTAATTTAAATGAAACTGAAACATAGTTTTCAGTCCTCAAAGCAATTACAAGAATGTAAGTAAATGCATTGTTTCATTGTTGCAGCCAAAAATGCAGAGATTTCAATTTTAAAAAGTGATCCTCGTAGCAAATACTTTTAGGTATTCTATTTGTTCTATTCACTTTTTCACCTTTGGGATTTTTTCAGTCTGCACGTAAATTCTCTTGTATGTATGTTTGTATCCCCTCCCCCTCTGTATACATTTGATTATAATGCTAGTTGTTAGCCATGGCTGCATGATTATTTCAGGATTTTCACTAGTTAATAACTACCTGAAAATCTTGTAATCAAAGGGGGATGCTTTCCTGGAAAGATGGGTCCAGAGTTGAAGCATTTTGCTGTTTCTAAACTAACTTCATTTTTGTTGCACTCTCACCAGTAGGCTATAGGTCTAGTACTAGAGAAAGTAAATCTACAACGTTAACTGTGCCAGAACAGCAAAGAACAACCCATCATCGTTCACGATCTGTATCTCCTCACCGTGGTGACGATCAGGGCAGGACCCGTTCTCGTTTACCAAATGTGCCATTACAGAGGTAGGGTTGAAAATGTAGCTGCTTTCCTTTATAAGCCACATCGGGCACAATCCAGTCTGAGCTGTACATTTTGGATCTTGGTCATTGTAGAGGGAGAAGAGTTAAACATGAACTTGAGTGACTCCCATTGAAATCAAGATGCCTTAACAATGTTTCACTCTGGCTGGGTCATGTCCATCGTGATTACATGTATGTGAAGTAGATTGTTCTTTTTGGGCAGAGCACAAAACCACCATATGTTGCCTTCCACATCACAGCAGCTGCCTCTGTGGTAAGCCATTTGTCTGGAGTGATGTACCATCCAGAGAATCCTGACTGTGTTGTGCACAGTCCTTAGGATATACTCAGTGCTGAGTGGTACTTAGTAAGTTTCTGGAGGATAATGTGAAAGCAGAGTAGAATGGAAATGAATTCTTCAGCCACAGTTTATGAAAAAGATTATTATATCAAGGCATAAGAGGGCATTTCCGTTCCTGAAACCAATCAGGTTCCCCCCTGTATTCATGGACAAAAGGATCATGGGCAGCTGGACGAAGAGGATTCAGTGTTCTTCAGCTTTCCCTTGTTTTGAAAAGTAAACAATGGAGAGGGAAAGGAGAGCAACTTAAAGGGTAAGGCATGTTTTCAGAGCTGTCTGTACATAGGGAAAAGAGAAGGATCATTTCTATGCAAGGCAATTGTTGTGCACTCAGGATTCCTTGGTCAGGGCTGTTTACAGGCTGTTTAGGAGATGTCATGATCCTGGATCCTTTACTGTATTTTTTATTTATTAGAATGGGGAAAAATGCATTGTATCTCCTTGTATATTTGAGCTGTTTTGCCTAGAGCACAGCTCCCATGGGAGGCAGTGGAAAAGCAGGGAGGAGTACCCCGTGTTCAGATCTCTGTTCCCATTTCTACAATGAAAACAAATGCAGATGCAGCAACTGGCAGAAAAGCTCAAGCAAGGATTTTGGTCCATCATAATGCAAAAAAGGGGGAAGGAGTATGTGGAGCATCAATTGGCCAGAAAGGAAATAAAAAGGAGTGAGGGCGTGGTAATTTTCCAGTCATGCTGGGTGGGATGGTGGACAGGTTCAGAAGGTATAGTGGAGAGGTGACAGATGTTATCTGAGTCTGTAGTGGGGAACTATGGAAAAGAAACAATTCACCAAACCAAAGTCTTATAAGGTAAATGTTTCCCCAGGAAATTCTGCAGTCGTTTAGGACAAAGGGTGGTTTACTATTGCAAACAACCTCTCACTGGGATATAAATTAGTGAGCGGTTGTCTGCAGGGCAGGGTCTCCAGTCTTCTAGCCACTGGAAAGTGATGGGCAACCACATTTAGCTGGGCTCGTGTGCTACAATGCACAGTATGGCACTTCCTCACATGACAGGTTTCTCCAGACAATGGCTCACCACACAGAGCAAATTCAATATTTAAAGAAACTCAAGGAAATGTTTTGTGTCACTCACTAAACTCCTTGTTAATACCAATGATATGTAACTATTCCAAATGATGGCTTAGTGTATGCAGGACAAAGGCCTGAATTCTCTCCTCTCACTTTTTTGTAACAAGCCAGATAACTTCATGGTGACATGACTTGTGTCCATTCTCCTCACTGTCTGTCACCTTGTTCAGTCTTAATCTGTAAACGAGGAACATCGCTGACAGTTAATATGTGTAAAGGTGAAAGGCAAGGGAAAAACACTGGCCACCACATGCGTGGGGTGAGAGGTTTCGCTTTTGTTTTGCTTGCATGTGTGCATACACTGAGAGCTAGTGGGGTGTAGTGGGCAGGGGTTGGTCTTGGGGTGTTTCCAAAGGAAGCTTTTATCGCACCATCATTCCACTTCCTTTATGGAATTTGATTGTGGGTCAGAGGATGTCATCTTCCTCTTATAATCCTCCCATGTTTTCTTGCAAAGGGAATAATGTTATAAAAGAAAGAAAGAGATGAGCTGCAGAAGACCTTTTGACTTTTCATACTAGGACCCCTCTATCTGGAAGTACCCCTACACTGGGAAGGGTGGTCAGATCCCCACTTCTCTCTTAAGTTCTTGGAGCGGTCTTGTCCCGCAGTCTAGTCTATACCCCAGGATTCTTGAAAGAAAAAGTGGGGAGCAGTGGGAGAGAACACTTCCTGAATTGTTTCAAAGAAGAGCAGGATAAAAATGAAAGAAATGCATTCTAGGTTATTGGTTCTGACAGGAACAGCAAGAAAATCAATACCATTGACTACTGTATTTGGTCTTTTAATCTTAAAGTAGCCCAGAAACACTTTTGGGTTCTTTTTCAGTATAGCAGGAGACATAGTGTCTTTGCAGTGTCTTGATAGAGCAGATACTGGCTGCTTGGGAAAAACAGTTCGATTTTTCCCTAACTGCACAGAATGCAGTCCAGCTCTATCAGGAAAAGTGAGCAGGACTAAAATCTGTTGTCCCCCCCCCCTTTTTTTTTTCTGGCCATGTGGATTTTCTGTTACTTCTTTGGGGTTCCTATACTCACACCCAGATAATCTGCTCTGAGTTTTTATTAAATTTCACCTTGATGAAAGTATGCTGTGCAAAAAGAAAAGCATTGTCATGCATGTGTTTGCTTCTATGAACATTTCCAGGAGTTTAGATGAAATTCATCAGATGAGACGATCACGTTCTCCAACTAGACACCATGATGCCTCCCGAAGCCCAATTGATCGCAGGTCCAGAGACATGGATAATCAGTATTTGTCAGACCAAGAAAGGTATATTTTCATCTTAAGATTCTGAATATGTAAAAAAGCATCTATTTTTTGCTTGTGCTGGGAAATGCATTATATTAACTAGAATAGGAGGTGGGAAATAGTCATGTCTGTAGTAATAATAACACCAACAGCAAAGGATTTGTTTAGCCCTCAAGGCATTGTCAAGCCCTCAAGTCAAATGTGTGCATTAGAAGCCAAGATGTTCTAGTCAGTAGTGGAAGCCAATTTAAAAGAATTTTGGTTTGTACTCACAGTGTAAATACGGTTGGTGGCATACATTAGGCAAAGCAGGAATTCTGATTTATTTAACAGCTTTCTTTTACTGACTTATTATTTGCAAAAATAATTTGATCCTGCTAATAGTATTTCCATGGACTATAATTGTTGCTGTATCATTTAATTTGGTGACTATAATACAGTGGCTATAAAAACATCCATCTAGGTTGCCATCCTTCCATCTAGAGTGAGATCCATCCATCTCATCCATCTCTTTCATCACAGCCTCGCTTGGTGAGGTGACAAAAGGTAGTCCAATTAGAAAAGTCACCCAGACTGGATCCTACCTTAATCCTGGCTGCTAATTGTGTACTGAAGTATGTCTCTGAGTGATAGTGGGAGAAAGATACAGGAAGCATTAGATTTTTTTGAGCTTGTTAAGGGTGGTGGAGAATGTGAGCTCACGGCCTTTCTGCCTTTATTGATCAAGCAAAGGAACAGTATTAGTGCATGCTTTCCAATTGTTTTCCTTGGACTGTCCCATTGATGTGAATTATTCGTTTGTGAAAAAAGTACTATTCCTCACCTCTCCTGCTCTATATCAACTTGGCAAATGAAATGTTAGGCCTACTGTAGTAAGACTTGTTTATCCTGCTAACATTAGAAGAACTCTTTTGGACAACATTCTTGAAGTTAGCTGTATGGATTACAAGTTATGGCTCATTTCTTCTCTGTTTGTTTATATGTAATTATTTCCTGTGATGTTGCTGATAAAATCTACAATGAAATGTATGCTCATGGCAATATGACAGCAGACAGATAATTTATTTACTGCTTTGGATAATATTTAAACTTTTCTCTCTCTGTTACCATAGTTATTTCATAGATTCTTTTGAAATGGCACATTTCATAGGTTCTTTTGAAATGGCACATCTTCATAAACAATTTGTAAGCTTTATGTTGGTGACCTTGGAAATCAATCCTAGAGATTTGTGTTGTGGAGGGTACAGGCATACACATCCAATTTTTGAATTAGAGATTTTGCTGAGACCCAGGTCACATTCAGCAGCCACTTTTGTTTGTGCTGCTTCATTGCTTCCTGTAATGTATGGGTCAGCTTTGCTCCACTCATATTGGGCTACAACTCCCATCTTTAGCCATGCTTGGAATTATAGTTCAGTGCATCAGGAAGGTTCCTGGTTGGGAAGGCTGCTATAGCTTCTTCCAATACAGAAAGACAGGTATGCGGAAATGTGGATTAAGAAGATAAAATGTTTGATGACTTCTTAAAAAGATAACATATTTTACTAACAATAAGGGGAATGAGCAATCCCCACCATAAGTAGATAAAAGGAAATTCACTGTAATGCAGGCAGACCAGTTGCAGCAATCTCTGAACTTCTGCAGTCTCTTCTCTGGCTTGGAAGAGAAACATCCTTTTCTTTTATCATTGCTTCTTAAAGCATATTACTGTATTGTAATGAAGTGCTTACTTTAGCGTTTACAAATGAATAATAACACAGAAGCCTATCCACTGTAAATCGAGAAGCAAAACTCTGAAGATCATTCTGGATGAGAGAATGCTAACCTGTGTAAATTTAGACTGCTTAAAACCTTATTGAAGTTAATGGAATTTAATTGGCCTGACTAAAGGATCTAAGACTTCAGTTTTAAAATATTGCCCAAAAAGTCTTTTGCTTACATTTAAAAGGCGTATTATAATATGTCTTTCTTTAACTCCTATCAAGGTAACTATCTCAGTTCGAGCTTTCTGGTTTATTTTATGTTTTCATTTGCATATCATGGCATAATTCATGCCACTTAATGCTTCATATTTATATCTGTTTCATTCATCGTCCATCCTGTCTGTGCAGTGAGCTTCTTATGCTGCCCAGGGCAAAACGAGGAAGAAGTGCAGAGTGCCTACATACCACCAGGTAAATACAGGCATTTGGTAACTAAGATTGCTTATGGATAGTTCTGGTGTATGTGTTTGTTTTTCTTTTCTTTTACAAGCCATTTTGTTTCCTTCAGTCCTCTGCTGTAGCATGCTTACAGTTCAGCATAAGCAGCACTGCAGGTGAAATACTATGGTGTAGTAGTTTAATCACTTTAGCATTTTTGCTTGTATACAAGCTTCTGTGGACAGGACTCCAGGTAGCTGAATGCAGCCACATCTATACATATAGATTCCATTTATAGTCCTGTATCTTACAGTGGCTGAAAGTGTAAGGATTCTGTTATGGGTGAGTTTAATGTCTAGCAGTGAAACATTCGCACACACTGAAATTAAATAATTCAAGTAATGTTATTATTGGCCTTCCAATGAATGGCAGGATCATTATTTTATGTTGTGTTTATTTTCTCTTTTTTAATTTCTATTTTAATATTTGGCTTTATGTTTTTTACATACTAATCATTAAATTGCTAAATTGAATGCCTGTGTACTAAAAGTCTTTGTGAGCATGGGAGCTCCAGTGCATGCACATAACCAGCAAGGGCTTTCGCTCTTGTTTTAGCAGAAGGTACAAACTACCTGAAAGTAGTTAGTTCTGGCAGCAAATTCATGTAGGTTTACACAAGACTCTGTACTGGAGCATCTAGCCTCCAACTTCCTTTCAGCTTTAAAGAACTCCTTTAAATATGGCACAGACAGTTCAAGTACCCATGACGCGAGGGTTGTTTCATAAATAACAATCTTCTCCCCACCCCTCCCACAAAAATAGTCCATAACAAACCACTTTTGAAATGCAGGAGACTTTCAAAAAGCTGGTTTTTGATATGACACAGGTGCATTATAGTCAAAGGGTGGGAGGGGGGAAATCTTGCCTGACACACCTAAAGTGGCCCGTTGGATCTTAGCCAAGATATAAAGTACGATTTGGTGGAACAGCAAATGACATCCACACCCCTGTCCTATCAAGATGCTTTATTATGAGACTGGCCATGGACCAATTGCATTTTGGCTCCTAAGGCAGAAAAACTTATATGCACTTCTCCCTTACAGTTAATAAAAATAATAATCATGACCATCATCATCATCTCCAATTAGCTGCCTTAGGAAATTGCATCACTTTGCCTAATGTCAGCCCCAGAAACCAAATCATTTCCAGTCTGGAGAGACTAACATTGGAGCTATGCTATGACACAGCTGACTATGGCTGCTGCTTTACAACCTCTCTCTTTTTCAGTATAGATTCTATAGAATTTAAACATTACTAAAATGATCCTTGGTGTCCTTCTTAGCACTAAAAAAGACTGCTAATGCTTTTATCAACATTTTTGCTATATTATAAGTTTTCCATTAAGCACTTCTTCATCTGTTCTTGTCTATTTTTTTCCCTGCATGGATCTTTTCCCCTCCTAATTTTATGCCACATCCAAGAAATTCTGTTAGGCATTATAAAACACTACCGCCCAAGATGCCTTTATTAGAGAATGGCACTTACTGGAATATTTACAGGTAAGAAATCTGTTGATGCAAGATTAAAGGACTCGCATACCTATTTGGAAGATAGACATTCCAGGAAAATAAAATAGCTGAGATAATTCAGTCAATCTATATATAGCTTCTTATTGTCTTGGATAAGAAATCCTCTACCAAGCAGTACACCATAAATGCATTTTAATTACACTGTAACTCCATCAAAGTGTCATTATATTATCATCTCCAGTACAGCTTAGAGGCCCCATATTCAGCTCAGAAATGAAAGGAACTAGAGGCTTCACTCTACAAGGGTGCAAGCCATACTGAACACAGTGGGACTTCTAAATAAACATGTATAAGTTAATGTTGATATTCCAAATGTATGTCCAGAGTCAGTGATAATTAAACAGTATTAAACGTTCCATTATGTATTTATTTGCCATCACACATTATCTTTCTTTCTTTTTAGTGTGATTTGCCCTCTTTTTGAAATTTACATTTATTTCTTTTTATTGATTATTTTGCTTTGTGAAGCTCAACCCTGCCTGCATGTATTAAGGCCAAATCAGTGCTTAGTCAGGATATTTCACTTCTTCACAATTGCCTTAACTCACGAATACCAAGATTTACAGATGGACTATTGGTTAGGTAAGATTTTAGTTAAAGTATGTTTTTCAATGTCTGTTAGTTTAGTATAATAAATTTACCTCATTGTAAAGTATTTCTTTTACTTCAGAGCAATTGTATTTCATCATTTTGTGTTGAAAGACTTCTGGGAAGAAATAAAAGTTATAGAAAGATTGTTTGAGTATTTCTTTTTCCATTGTTTTCTTAAGTTGGTATCGGCCAATCTCTTTTTCCACTGTTAAGGTGCAATCTTGCCTATGAAAGCCAACTGGATTGACTTCATGGATCTAGATTGCAGCCTTAGATACCCTTGCTCCTTTATGCAATCAAATCCAACATTTTCTTTCTCCTTTATTTAAAAAGCAAAAACAAACCTTGGCATTTTTCATCCAGCTAGTTCCATTATATATTTATTAGACCATTGTGACTTAACATCTTGTGTAAAAGGAACATTACTTTATGATTTAATATCTAACATTGTATTCCTTTCTTTGTTTTCTTTTTGTTTGTCTTCTTCTTCTTCCATTGGATGCAATGCACTGGCACTAGTGAACTGCAGCCCTCGCTTGACAGGGCTAGGAGTGCTAGTACCACCTGCTTGAGGCCTGATTCTAGTTTGCATTCACCAGAACAAGAAAGGTATAAAATAAAGACTTCTCAATTTCTTGTCATCTGTGCTGGTGGTCTGTATCAGTTTGTTAGCTTTTTCATACCAGTCTTATATTCATATCCACCTGTATTACTCATATTGGCTTTGATATTGGTAGCCATGATTCGAGTTTATATCCATAAATATCATGCTTCCTGTAGGTTGATGCTTCTTATGACAGCTTCTGGCTTCTCCCATGTTTTCTCTCATTGTCTCTTTGTCTCTGTCTCACTTTCTTTCGAGTTCAAGCCAATGCCATTGTTTGCAAAAGTCCTCAGTATGCTGATAACATGTCGGTGTTAATTGAGATAGTTTTACTGAGCACCACTTCACTGTTTCTCCATCTGACAGAGTGGGCTCTGGGCCCTGAAATGCTTATGTAACAATAAATTTGTTTGTCTTTAAGGTGCCACACAACTCTCTTGTTTTTACTTGCTCGAAATGATATATAAATAATAGTTCTTAAGATCCCCCAAACATTACCTTTTCCTTGGAATCCCTGCCTGTTCTTTGGCTGGGACTTTGCTGATTTGCATTCTGGAATGGGAGTGGGGTGTGGCATCCTCTATCAAGTACTGATTGGCATAATCTAGTTGCTGCTAGATTAAACTCATAATTTGTCATTATGTTTCCCAGTTGCTTTTTTTTTTAAGGCTCACTGTGAAATGTTTGAACACATTCTTTTCCCAGCAGCCTTCCTAAAAGCAGTTTACAGAAACTTTGTAATGTTTGTACTTAAACACCATCAGCAGACTTATAGTTAGCTGCTATCATGATTTTATATGGAAATGGTCAATGTCTTGAATTTCCTAACATTTTCTTGAGTCTCTGAAGGTTAAGAGTTAGAACAGTGTATTTATGTATAAGGAAAGGTCTTAAAATGCATGATGTGCTTCTCCTGCTGAATCTCAGCCTTGCGAACTGCACAGATGGGAGACTGCCTGGAAACCATCCATAAACCAGGTTGGGGTTTTCTACATGATGTTTTTAACCCATCTCTTTACCAAGGCTTCTGCTTCCCATTTCTGAATAAAGATCAGCTCCTTTACACATGTTTTATACCAGGCTTTTCTTTTCTTTGCCTTTCTATATGGTCCATTGCATAATGACTAGGAAACACTGTGGCATAGAAGCAGAACAAATACGCTGGGGTTTCATGCCACCATTCATGTAAAATCCAACTTTCCTCAAATTAATAAAAACAAAACAAAACAAAACAAACAACAAAATAGTGGATGATGAAGCACTCGCAAACTACTGTGAGGGCAGACTCACACACAATAAATGTCTCCTGTAGAAAGGGTTAAAGAGCTGGGCTGTAAGTGTAATCCCACTTGCTATTTTTAGAAGAATGACAGTAGCAAGATGGCCAACAAAAGTACTGATACCTAGGTTGCTTCAGAGCAAAGAAAGGAATAGTATTGTTTTTGCTAAGAATGGACGTGCTATAATTAAATGCATGAGAAGGGAATTAGATTCTTGTAGTTGAAGTTATTAAAGACCCTGGAGCTTTGCTCTTTGAAGGTCTGTTTCACAATGTCAGCATCTACCAGAGCCACTGGCAAGAACCCAGTTGGTGTTTGAAACCAGGGCAACAGAATATTGATAATTCATCCACATCTATTTTGAGGCCTGAAAAATTACTTTTGTTTCTTACAGCAACTACAAAAGATATATTGGTATATCCAATCATATTGAAAACAGACATGTTGACTCATGGTTGCCATGAATGAATGCCAGTGTAGTGTAGCCTTCCTCAACATGATGACCACCAGATATTTGGGGTGACATCTCCTTTCAGTCCCAGCCAGCAGCAAGTTCAGTGAAGAGGGAACTTGGCCTCCAAAGCAGCTGAATGGTGCCATACTGCAGAAGGCTGATTTGGAGCTAGAACTATGAGCCAGGAATATTCTCTCCTCCCCTTAATTCACTTCTCAGCTGTGAAACCATGAGATAAGGGATTCCTTTTCACAAGCACTACTTGTTCTGGTGGCCTGGGAAGTGCAGGCTGAGGAAGAACCTGTAGCATTTGTCTTAGCTTTTCCTATGATGCTAGCCTCTAGATCAAAGACCCTCTCATGAGACTGGGGCATAAGAGTTTCCTGCAAGCATCGCTCTGCTTTTTGTGTCTCTTTGTCTCACATACCTCAGCAAGTGTCTCACAGACTTGTAATTTTGATGTGATCTGGAAAGGGCTGAACAGAGAGAAAGAGCATGTTTTGCTCTATATGCATGTGAAAGGAAATTAGAGATTAGCATGGCTAGCTTTAGTTTGCAGTTATTTGTGGTGAGTTGAGACTCAGTGACTCAGTTCAGACAACATGGTAAGCCATACTCTAGGGATGAAACAGGTTGAGTATGAGTTATGGAACTATGAGTTGTTGTTGAACTGTGGGTTATTCTGTTGTCTGAATCCTGCTGCACTAACAAGCCATAGCTTGTTAATTATAAATGCATGGTTTGCTGTTGGGCTGTGAATTAAAGCTGATTCATCACAGTTTGCCATCTTAGCTGGGTTGAGCAACATGACAACCCACTGTTCAACAACAACCCACACTCAACCCATACTGAGTGTGTATGACTTGAGTGTGGCTTACCATGTTGTCTAAACTCAGTATATAAAGAGCTGCTTTAGTGTGTCAGCTCAATGATGTCTATGGCTGGGCTTTACCACGCATGATTTTTCTAGGTTTCTCATTTAAGTTGGACCCAGTGGCAAACTCTTAAGCAACCTAAATGAGCTGTGGAAATTTGCCATAATAAAAGGGCAGATTTTGCCATAATATGGAAATTTGCCATAATAAAAGGGACTGTGTTCTCAATAAGACCTCCTGATCACTTATACCACTATACTGAGACTTAGGAAGCCCATCTAGAAATACCCTGGATGTACTTATAACATGAGGAAGAATAAACTAAATATGCCCTTCAATTGGCAAACATGGGGAAACACAGTATTGTTCAAAAGACAGCTGTAATGCCTGATCTCTAGGCCTAGTTATCAGAAGCCTCTGGTGTAATCAAACACCTCTGATAGAAGATATCATTCATGGCCCATTTCCCATAGAGGGAATGTTTTCACTTTTCTTGATATTAATTTTTTGAATGTGGCTGCAAGTTATTTAACTGCTGAGATGGATTCCTACCTAACTTGTAGACTTAGTTTAGATGCATACCCAGTCTACCTGGTGGCAGTCTTCTTGGAGAAGGAGTAGGCACACTCGACCTACATCCATTCCTCACATATTGTAACATGTGATGCAGGTAATCCACACAGAGCCCTGGCATGCAGATGTAGTGTTTCACTTTTAAAAAAATGCAGTGGGAGAGAAAGGATAATAGAAATCAGGATCTTGCACATATGGGTCATTCAACTGACTACTTGCTATCCCATGTAATGGCATGTGTGTGGTGTGCTCCTCCATGACTGGAGTGTAATCCTGTTCCTAGGGCCAAGTCCCATTGAATGACAGGAGTAGATGTATATGACACTGTGCTGTTCCCAGGTAAGCCACTGAACTGGGCCATAGTTATTTTGTTAGTCTCTTGCCACTGCCTGCACAATGATGTCTCTCTGTAAAGAAGATTGCAAAGAAGGGAGCTGCCTTGTTTGATGATATGTCTCCTTCAAAGCGACAGTACATAAACACATCTTTAAGAGTGGGGGAATTGTGCTGCAGGGTTTTTTCCAGGAAGTAGTTTGTATAATTCAAAACAGTTCTGCTTGCCTGATGAATAGAATTACATGAGCTGACAACAGCATTTGATATGTGTGCGATATATTTTGGAGGCAGCACTGGTCCTTAAACCATGTTCACTATTTGGCTTGACATTTGGCAAGTCGAATCAGCTGTTGTCATAGATCAGAGTGGTCCATAGCATCAGTGCAGATGCTTCAGCCTGGCTGCAAAATATTATATATAATTTTATTACAGTATTTAAATCCAAACTTCAAAGCTTTATTGGTCTGTATGAGTCTATGGCACAGAAACGGCACACAGTTTCCATTTAGCAAAGTTGTGTCCATATATTCCCATGTGGAATGATGGCTCTGGCAGGGAGCCTTGTCTTCCTGTTAAGGGCAGCCCATGAAAGGCCTCCATCTGTTACCTTATATGGCAATGGGTCACTGCAGATAACAGTCAGCATTTGGCTGAACACAGTGAACGGATGCTTTTACAACAAACAATGCGTAAATAAATGCATTGTTCCTGTTGCAGTAGGCATGGAAATCTAGATGACAGTGTATTAATTCTCTGTGGTAAGAAAGCTTCAGCATGAAGATTGGTTTTTAGAAATAATATTGGAAACTGTTAAAAGATAATTTAAATTCCCTTCAATTTTGTGAGCATCTGGGCAGTGTCAAAGAATACTATAAAAAAGCATCTTATAATTTTAATAAAAATAATAAAATAACATGAGCATAGCATAACCAAGGAAGCTGGCAAATACAGTAAGCAAACAGATCAAATCAACCATTTAAAATGTCTGGGAAAACAAAAAGAGTTTTCAGCTGGTTCCAGAAAGATTTCAATATCAGTGCCAGTCACACCTACATGAAAAGGGTATATTCGATAATTGGAATTCCGCAAGAGAGTAATTCCAACCCTTATCAACGCAAATGAGCCAGTGTTGTGTAGCAACTAAAGTGTTGGACTGATACTTGGGAAATCTGGGTTCTAATCACCTCTCAGCCATGAGGTTCACTGAGTGACTTTGGACCATATATAGATTCTATATAATCTACCTCACAAAATATAATGGAGAGGAAAACCTTGTAAGGCACTTTGGATTCCTTACAAGAGAGAGAAATGTGGGATATAAGCACAATATACTACTACTACTACTACTAATATAGTCAGGGTACCTGGAGAAGAGCCTGTCCTGGTGACCTTAACACAATGGTAGACAGAAAGTACCTTTCTAGATGTTTTGGCTTTCAACTCACAGCAGTTCTGATCACTGGTCATGTTAGCAGGGACTTCTGGGA